TAATTTCTCCAAACTATTAACAGCTTTTAAATAGCTACTGGCACCCTCTTGTTGAGTTAGAAATGTCTTTACGTTTTCTAAACTTTTCAGTGCCTCATGAGCACTAACTATTGGGGTTTTATTACTATTATCATCAGTTTCTTCATCGTGTTCTTCACTAAATAAAGAAATAATATCATCGCTTTCAGGAAGCTCAAAAACGATATTTTTCGCTGAAAAAGACAAATATTCATTTGTTGTCATTACATCAGAAAAATTCAACCTCATAATGGACTCAAACAATTCAGTAATTGTTTTATTATTTAACTTTTGAGTTTCATCTCCGATTGAATTATTATCATCATTATTATCGGGAAGAATTTTGGTAGCTTTCCAGCAATTCGAAATGACATCAGACGTAACATCGTCCCAGGCTTGAATAATGTATTGTATTGCCAATAAAACATCCATTTTTAAATTGCTGGCATTTTCTCCACTTTCAATTATCCAACGAACATGATACCGACGATAATGCTTTTTAAATGACATAATGATCCCAGCATTCATTGGTTGGATTTTTGCCGTTGTGTTTGGTGGTAGGAAAAGTATTTCAGTATATGAGAGGTTTACTCCTTCAATGCATGACTTGGACAATTATCTAAAATAAGTAAGACAGGCTGACCTCCATGCACTTTTGAAATGTGAATATTAAAATCGCTCAACCATTCTCGAAACAAAGTTGTTAACATCCAAGCATTGCTGTTGTAACGGTAAGTAACTCTTAAACTGTTGATATTTATGTGTTTAAAGCATCTCGGTTTTGCGTATTTACCGATTACTAGAGGATTTAGCTTATGCGAGCCGTCAGCATTTGCGCATAGAGCTATTGAAAGACGTGTCGTTGCCAGTGATCTATCAGGTTCCAACCGATAAAACAGACCAGTTTCGTCCATATTATAAATCCTGTCTAAAGGAAATCTTGACAGTTTTTCACGTAATGATGGAAGATTTTCGAGAATGGCATTTTGGTTACTTGAGCCTGCTTTACCGTGGAGTTTTCGTAATTGTATTCCGTTTCGTTCTTTAAATTTATGAAGCCAACCGGAAGAGAAATGTAATTCACGTCAGGAATTTGTAATCTTTCAGCAAATAATTTAGCTTTATCTATGATAATCGCATCACTCAAAATGGTACGGTGTTGATAAGTCCATAAGTGCACGCTCAAGCTCAGGAAATTTGACTGGTTTGTGCCGTTTTGAACTAGGATTAATGATGTCCTCAGTTAAACGTTTACGACTGTCTTTTAAAATTCGAGAAACAGTTGACTTATGAACCGTGACGTTCCATTTAGCTTTAATCCACTCGACATATGTTTCAAGGGCCTCTTTATTATCACGGGCATATTGACAAAGTTCAAATTTTTGTTTATCAGTTAATGTAGTTTTATTAGATTGATCTCTTAAAAAGATATGATAAAGAAAAATTATTACGAACTATTTGGGAAATACCGGCAAATTTAAATAATCAAATCCGAAGACAATACACGAAAGTTAAAAACTTTAGCCAACAATTTGATTAACGTAGAATTCAAACTATCCTTTGGGAACGCGTTTGCTCTTATGTCTTCATTTTACCAGAAGTATACTCTCAAGCAAACGACTGAATTATCCGAAATGCGTATGTTCGCTATAATGTGTAGCATAGATTTTGCCTTTTTCTTTACGGCTGATCAAAGTCTAAGGATGCTCATCAATGACGTTGATTTTCCGACCAATTTCCTCTCATGCAATCGCTCGGTTGAATATCGCCCGTAATATACCCAATTATTTTACGAACAAGCTAACAAGAACAAAGCACTTGCAAGTTGCATTTTCTATTGATCCTTTTTTCTTGAAAGAAATAAATTAATATACATGCCGTATACGCTCTAGAGGCTGTGGCTTAACAAAATCATCATGCCGTATATAAAGTTGGCCATATAAAGTTGGCCCTGCCCTTAAAATATGTAATGATGCATAATTAGACGTTTCATTGAATGTTAAAGGCAGTCCCAATTAAAGTAATTTACCACTTGTATTTTATCCATCCGAAGAATGTATGCAGGGCGTTCCCTGCCTTATTAAGGTTTCTTTTTTTGAGCGCTCTGCAGGTCATAATACTTTAAAATGTGAGTGTATGCATTGATAACATTTTTAATAAACTTTGCATAAAATTAGAAATCCTGACCTTTTATCCAAAATTTAGCTAGTGACCTAAACTTCAACTTTATTTTATGGTGCAGCCCTATTTTTGTCTCTAAATTTATACACACCTATCGACGAGCCTGTCTATAGAACACTCAAAGCAGCACGGTTGTCCTAAATCGTGGGTATTTGTGACTGCAACACTTTCACAGGTCTAAAGAACTGTATGTTGGCTATCAGATTGAAAAAATTAGCGGCTATATTAGTATTCTGATACAATGCGACAATAGATATGATGAGTGCAGGACCTGACGTCATTAAATATGTCAGCTCGAACGAAAAAGGTAACGAATTTTCATGTTTGGAAAAGATGCGTGTGGGGCAGGACATGTCATCCATCGTGTGCGTGGTATCTAGTCTGTTTATGACTTTAAAACCGAGTATGAACATTAAGTGTTCGATGCTAAGGGAAGGAAACGTGTAAACTGGTGCATGTAAACAGTTTTACATGACGTAAACATTATATCATTGTATTAAAGTGCCAGGTGACATTTGACTAGAAGAACTGAAGCTGGGATTGAGAAAAATATAAACAGAAAACGTTGAATACTAGTATATAATCTTGAAATTGCTAACATGCATCTGGCATATCTGATAAAGGAATCATAATACATTCTGCTAAGAATATTTAATATCTGCTAAAACGCAAAATATGCCATACAATGCATTTTCATTCTTTTTTTGATTGAAAGCTCATTTAGTAATAACCTTCTCTAGCAATAGTCATCCTCGAAGGTATTGGGATTATACACTTGGATGAACTGCTAGGCATGATGGCATGACAGTGCAATACCACACGATCAGAAGAAAGAACGAGTTCTATCGTTTTCCCCAACCACTCTCCTCTAAGAATTTATAGTTGGCGTTATCTTAGTCGATACATCAATATATCATAGGCCTTTATTTAATGGCCGGCCTTTTACTTCTCGTCTAACTATTTCAATTACCAAAAGTAAAGAATAAACCACAAGGACGCTCAGTTGCGGCGTTTAGTTTTTTTTTCTTCTTTCGGATATTGGAATTAGATTAATTAAGCAGGAAACCCAATTGCATTTTATCTACATACATAAACGTATCTACTCTACACACATGCAGAAAGAAAAATATTCTCATACAACAACCATCTGCAATAATGCTCCCACTTCCACGTGTTTGAAATTCTTTTTATGGTCATTCGAACATTCTTTTATTCATGTATCACAAATAACAAATAATGCGACTATCATCGATTGACACTAAAGTTTCATACGCCCAAACCGATCATACCACACACAACACACAATAACAACACACAAACACAACACATAGCATTCACACACACTCTCACACACAACGCATTATATATACAAAACCCCTTGTCATTCCCCCGCCAATCTGGAGTCAAGCTTTTCTATATATGTAAAAGACTAAATGCCACAAACGGCCATTTATAGGAGACACAACGTTGTCAAATAATTTCTGTCAAAATGAATGGGGCAAGATATTTATGATCGGATAAGGTGTAGATTTGCAAAAAGAAGACAATAGCACAATTGTTATTTGATAACGGATAGAGTACAGGATACAGATTATATAAAGATACGAAAACTTGTATATGTACAGTACGTATTTTCGATGGTGCGAGGAGGGGCTGTGCAATTTCAATATACACATATGACGATGATATATTCTAACCTAATTGGGTATAGTAAACATCCACTCGGAGATTTACTTGTCTCTCTCTCTCACGGAGATTTACTCGATGATCCCTTTTCGTTAACCAGTCGGGAAAAAGTTGTATTACATACAGTTCACTAGATAGATTTACTTCAAAGCACGCATCTCACATTTCAATTTTGATAGCGACGTTATATGCAAACCATTCTTATTAACTAACCAATTGAATTTCATTGTTCGTAAAGAATTGTCTTTTTATCAAAAGAGAGAGAGGGAAAAGAAGAAAAAAGAAGAAATGGAAATGGAATTTTGAGACGCACTAAGACCGTTCATAGTCCAATGATAAATTTTCCACCACCCACAAGAAATGCAAGAATACGTTGATTGCCTTCTTACACTAGAAAAATTGGGGGGAAAAAAAGCTGGATGCAATTAAACTTGATTCAACAAGTTTTTTGTTGGAAATATTGTCCGAGAAAATTCATTTACAAAATATAAACAATGATGAAAAAAGAAGACTGAATATACAAAAGGTTGGGAACGAAAAAAAAGTAATTTTGGAAAGCAAGTTTAAAGATTATGCTATAGATGCAGGAAAAAACAAGAGTACAAAAGTGGGGGGGTGGAAAAGCAAGATTATTGTACGTATAGTACATATAGTAAGTAGGTGACATAGAGATCGAGCGTAACTATGCAAGTTGAACTTTTGACAGTATCCTGTCAAACATTAGTAAAAAAAAAAGAATTACCAAATCCTTAGGTCACCGCAAGTATCAAATAATAATACTCTCTTCCTCTCTCCTCTTTTCTCTTCCTCCATCTCTCTCTCTCTCTCTCTCCATCTATCTCTCACATTAAAATTTCATTACATTCCCATTAGTCTGCTATTTAACTCCCACCCCATTCCTTCACTAACCCCCGATTTTTTTATTCTCGCACCGAAAAAGACACATACTAATGCTATACTCTTACTCCGTAACTAGAAAAGTTTACTAAACTAAATTTACTGCTAAACCCATGCACACGTACGTTTTTCCCACGATTTCCTCTCACACACACGTATACACACACACGCACACGCATACGCAAGAAGACCCAGATGTCCCACCCTAGTTTTTTTTTTCAGGCTTGAACAATCCTTCGAATCTTTCCACAATCTTCCAAATGCTGACCCCTGTACTTGATAATCCAACCACCATCCTTTTCCGTGACCGTCTTGTTCACCGGACACCCTTTGTTGCTATTCGAGCATTTATAATAAACGCTCTTGCATCCTGTCTTTTTTTGGGTCGTGTTCCCATTGTTTTTCCACAGATAATCATCTACGTAAGGGTATTCTTTTGTTTCGATGATCATTGTTACGGGTAACATTTCTCGACGTTTGCGTTTACGTTTGTTTTGCGGCGATGAAAGATCGCTGTCGCCGTGTTCTAGCGTCTCTTGTCCGGTGGCTGATGATGGCGGAGCCGAATCGAGAGATAGGTTTTGGATTTGGGGAGATGTGAGACCATTAAAGGCCGATTGATATGTGAGCGTTGCAGCCTGCGTGTTGTAACTGTTGTGATGGTTGTCGTGGTTATATTGGAAGTAATAGTGATAATAATAGTGGTAATAGAAATTATAGCAATAGTAGTAGTAGTCATCGTAGTGTTGGTCATTGTCGACAGTTGCGCAGTTTACGTTCAATGATGGCGGCGGTTGAGGGATATTTGTATGATTCGAGAGTGATCCATGAGTCGAATTGATGAAACACCAGGAAAAAGAGGGGAGAAAAAAAAAGAATGTAAGTAAACCTATGCACGAATTCAATAAATTAATCGCTCCGTAAGTTTTAAAACTATATAATTATTCAACTCCATTCATCTCATTCCCCCTATCAATATTGACTCGCCTCCTCATCTCTTCTCCCCCAACCCCTCTCTCTCCGCTCAATGACCAAAAAATGAAGAATAAAAAAGAATAAAAAAAAAAATACCAAAACGGCGCGATCAATAAAATATCTAGTCAATAAAAAAAAATCAAAAGTTAAACATACTGGCCGAGGTTGACGTACCCATTCACTGAATTTTCTAGATTGTGATACAAAGCAAAAAATAGAAAACGAGGTTTTAAGTTTTATTATTTGTTTACAATGTTTAATCATTTGCAGAACAAACAAAAAAACAACAAGGACGGATGATTGGAAGAGGGTAGGGGTGTGAGAGCAAACAAGGAGGAGAGATTGGTGATTCAATGGTTGTGTGCGAGGATATGCAGGGTGAATGTGAATGTGTATGTGAACGTGTGTGTGAATGTGAAAGTGAATGTGTGTGTGATGCGTGTGTATTGTGTGTAATTGTGTGTGGTAGTGTGTGTAGCAGTGTGTGTGTGGTAGTGTGTGTAGCAGTGTGTGTGGTAGTGTGTGCGTAAGTTGTGGGTCAATAATGGGCGATGGAAAAAAGAAATAGGGAAAAAGAAAATTTATGTTTGAGGATTTACCAATTCTCCTGGAGGGTAGGAAAACGCTTGAAAAGATCAACTCACCGTGATCGAACCCGATCTCTCCATTATGTTCCTCTATTTTAGCGTCGGATGATCCGTCATTAACGTACGAGGACGTTCTTCTATGCCTGTCGCGCGATTGTAGAGCTTCTATTTCTTTCATTCTGAGTCTTGCCTCTTCAGCTTTGCGCTTGTCTTCTTCGACTTTTGCAGATAGAATTAGTTTTAGTAATTCGGGCTGTTGATGGAACTGGGCTATGACCTCGTGCAAATCAAAAGCGGTTGGAGTAGTAGCGGTTGTGGGTTGACAATTAGAGGTGAGAGAGGTGGGGATTGTGGGAGGAGTGGGGAGGGAAGTGGGGATTGTGTTGGTGGACATTGTCGAGAGGGAAGTGGTTATGTTTGAATGGTTTGATTGAGGAATGCATTGGTTTGCGGTTAATGGAGAAGGAGGAGTTCCGGGAGAGGGGCCCAGTTGCGTAGAGTGTGCGGTGTATTGATTCGTAGGTTGTTGGTTAAACTGGTGGATCTGGGAGTGGGCTGGGTGATGGAGGTGCGGGTGGGTTTTCGGAGTAAGCTGGAAAGCAGTGTATTGGGCTTCTCTTGTCGACATGATATATAATGGGGGGTATGGGGAGAGGAAAAGGGGAGGGTGGTAAAGGGGGGGGAGAGAAAAAGGAAGAAGGGGTGATGTAGGGGATTGCTGGGTTTTGGTTTTTTCTAAAAAGGTGGAATCAAAAAAAAAAAAAAGTTTACTACAAGTGATTGAATCTCTTTAAATTTTTGGTAGTCAGTAGCTAGCTGTTAGTTGCAGTCTGTCTGTCTGTATGTACGTTTGTATGGTTTGTATGTCTGTATGGTATGTACGTTTGTATGTCTGTATGTCTGTATGGTATGTCTGTTTGTATGTCTGTCTGTATGTATGTATTCTTTTCTTTCTGTCTTTTCTTGTTGATGCGGTGCGTAGTTGTTTTTTGACTATTAATTTACTATAATTTGACTATGCGATTACTATTTATTAACATTAGTATTACCACAGTCTAATATTAATAATAATGATGATGACTATTAAATCACTTACAGTGTTCTTTGTTTCTGCGGGATGAGTGAGACACAGGAACACAGGAAAAAGATGATGGTTCTGAAATAGGGTGAAATAGTCTGGGGGTTAGAAATTTATGCAATAACACACGGGGAATTTGGCGATAATGACGGGATAATGTTGTTTATATATGAAAATTTTATTCTTATTATTGTTAAATTTTTTGGTTTGTATTGTGAGAAATAAATTATTTGGCTTATTTGATAATTGCATATTTTAATTATTTTTATTGGAGGGCAAATAGTTTCGGTGGTTAGTGCTTTATTTGCGCATCTTTTCACGAGCAAATCACTCATCTTCCACAGCATAAAGAAAACCTCACGACGAATCAGCTCGAGCAGACTAGGTCGATTACAGGCGAATAAAGCGCAGAGACTCAATTTATTCAATCACATATACAAAAAACAATTGATTCATACAACTATACAATACGATTACTGATTGCAGATTATAGAGATTATACATATTCATATACAGGTGGATTGATTTCCCACCCGATATTGGCTGTATTTATACGATTCTATCTGCCCTATCCATCATACATATCCACACATATCACACATATCATACGCTACATACGCTCCATACACTCCATACATCCATACATCCATACACATACACTATCCGTACACTATCCGTACACTATCCGTAGACTACCCACGCACCATCCCATTCCCCCTTCATCCCTCTTCCCTTCTCTTTATCCGTCCCTTTCTCTTTCCCCTCTCTGCTCCCTTCCTCCTCCCTTCCTCCTCCCTTCCTCCTCCCTTCTTCTCTCTCAATTCTTCCATGTTTCAACAATTCATTCCTTTCATCGTGCAAACAACACATGACACATCTAAATAAGGGGGTAAGCAGTTGCAATATGCATGACGAAAATTTGATGTACGTTGCAGATGGTTGATTGGACTGCACAGTATAAAAAATACATATAAACTGAAATAAGTGGCGTACGGACAGTGTATATGTACATATATAATATACTGTGTTTGTATTTATGTTTGTGTGTGTATGTAGCTGTGTGTGTGTGTGTATGTGTATGTAGTTGTGTATGTAGTTGTAATTGTGTGTGTATGTAATTGTGTGTGTTGTGTGTGTTGTGTGTGTAGTTTTTCCTCTTGTTTCTGTTATTCTTACTTTTATCGTCGATATTCGAAACAGGAGCAAAAGAAAAAAAAACCAAGTTCCCGACGGTAAATCAAAATACACTACATTTCCCTCCCAACTTTCGCGCGTTTAAACAAGTTTGCGAACAGGTTCGATACAAACCAACGTTTGTTATGGTCTAGTCGAGTGTCTAGTCCTTATTTTCCACGAGGGAAAAATGAAAATAATAAAAAAAAAAAGAATGAAAAGGCAATCTATGATGTAATTTAGTCACAAATGAATTAAATAAATATATCTACTATCAACTATCGATTAATCATATCAACTATTCTTGTTCTTCTCATATGGACAAACGACTCCGCCACTAATAGATATTTGCTCACAACACGCATACGTTTGTTCATATCACATTGTCATCTCGCGCAAAAAAAAAAAAAAAGAAAAAAAAAAGCGTCAATTGGCGCAGTACTCGTATATTAAAAAGCCACATTAAACAGAAGTCCCGCCGAGACCTTAAAAAAAAACTTAATCCTTATTTGGATAGATGAATATTTACAAGAATTTAATAATATGTTCTTATTGCTTACATATTATATTTATTCGCTTAGTACATAATTGGAATGGAAGAAGGAAGAAGGATCTTGGAATACGCCCGCAAAGAGAAATAGCATGATTTACGATTAGATAATCAATATAACAGCCAAACCCCCTCACTACAAACACTATATACACTAAACACTATTATTATACATCCATTGTATACATACTTATATATCACTCTTCAACCACTAAAAATCGCACACATACTCGCGAAACAATATAAACTATTGTATCTATTAACATTCGATATTAATATGCTTTTGGCTATATTACATCTATTTGGTTAGTGTATCTGACAAATAAACGAATGTAAGCGAGCATGACGCCCACGCAGAACAACTTCAGGGGAGGGCAAGGTACTGTACCCTGATAGCATCAAACATACGCGTTCATGATTTCTCTCTCTTCTCTTCATTTTCTTTTGGGACAACAAGTGAACCAGGCAAATATTCTCTAAATCTGCAGACCGACATAAACCCATATCAGAAAAACAAGTAATCCAAACAGCCCCATAGTTAGTTCTAGAATTGTCGAGATTTTTTTAGCCTGATGAGCCTTTATCTACGGAGTCTTTGTTGTTAATGCATCCCTTGTGCTGACTACTGTTAATTCTGTAGATGCAGCAGCAGCAGCAGCAGTTGTTGTCTTTGCTGCTGTCTTTGCTGCTGTATTTGCTGCTGCATTTGCTATTGTTATAGTGGTCGTTTGTTGTAGCAGTTTTCTTTTGTCATAGTTTTTGCTTCTTCCCCTTTATCTTTTTTCTTTGCTCATGAAAAAATTCTGTGCGATTCTTCAAGGGGTATGATACTTTTACCGGGGTTCAGTTTTCCATCTTTGCAACTAGCCAAGTGTGACCAGATGTTTTTTATGTATGCTTACAGGAATGATATGCACGTGAAAATGGAAGATGATTTTTGATAATCGTCCTTCATTTCCAATTGTAGCATAAACTGCAAATGCATCTGCTGGGAGAGAGGTTGAGAGAGAGAGAGAGAGAGAAAGGGCAGCTTGACAACTCACGTCCCTTGTGACAATTTTTCATGTGCTCCTCCTTGCTAACAATAGTTCAAATGCAGAATATTTAATTGCAAACTGTTCAACAGGATAACCAAAGACACGTCAGAAAGAATAGGCTGCAAATGTATGTCAGGATCATTCTAGAAATTTACAAAAATGCAAAGACTGTTTCATCATTAATTAATTATTCAACTGACCAAGCAGGAAGAATGAAAAAGAATAAAAAGAACATTAGCGACGAGTTGAAACATAGTCAAAACTATCCCGTTCCGCTACGAAGTCTACACAACAATTAACAAAATGAATGGACAAACAGCACTTGGGGTCATTCTCTGTTTCGATTGCTGGTAATTAAATAACGAATAACATCGTATTCGGTCTCGTATTGATTAGTCAAAGCATTTCTGGCTATATTTATTATATTATTATCATCGTCAACGCACACTCTAATCGTATGTCATTAATATTGACCAACCTGTTTCTGTTTCTCAAAGCTTTTGATTTTCTTTATTCAGTTATGCACCCTGACCTTTATGCTTGCCCCCTCCCGCAGATCTTCGCTTTGCTATTATACTTTCAATTATCGTTCATGATTTGCTGATGGCCTGCATGCGCGACGATCACCTGATGCAAAACTCTTCGGGTGCACTGTCGTTGTTTGTTCATGAAACAACAGTAATAATTGCCATCTCCGATTTGGGATTAATCAACGTTTTGCGTTATTAACGTTAATTCAATTCCTTATAGTGAAGCGTAGTACCAAATCTTTAATTGGTTAAAACAATCTTACCCTTGATGGTTTAGAAGTCACAGTCTTAATATACGATGCAAATAACAAGAGTTATACATGGAAGGCAATACCAGATCATTAGTGAGTATAACCCATTTTTCTGATCACTCACTCTGAATTCACCATTTCCAACAGTGTTTTTCCCAGTCACGGTCACCATCTTTATTATGTACGTGATTCACCAATCTACATTAATTGTCCGTGGGGGTTGCTTTATCGCGGAAAGCAGTAACGGTCGCCAAGAATTTCGACCGCTCTTTTTAAACTGAATCACCAAAATCAGAAAAGTCTTGATGGGATTATTCTTTTGAGCCGCCATCGCCGATAGTTTGGCGAGACAAACATCTAGTTTCCTGATTTAGACGAAATGAACATCATTCTGTCAACGAAAAGTTTTCAATCCAATTAGGTTTGTTACCAAATAATTGTTTTTGATGTTGCCTACAATGTTTAGTATCTAACGGATAATAATAATCATATTACTTCTCAGATATCACAGCCTTAATTGACTCTGCCATAGCGGTCGGTGTGAGTCCAGCGAACATCTGATCGCACATCAGTTATTATTGGTCACACACTGTATATAATGACAGTCTAGAATATTCCTAATACTAATACAAACATCTCAATTCGCACTTTCCCACATTCGCCTTACCAGCTTTTCCAGTGCAAATACGAGTGCCCAATAATCCCACCCTTTGAAAGATTGGCTCGCTCAAATCCCAGCCCTCGAAACAGTCGCAATAAGGCCATCGTTTGGACTAGATTTTATGTGCTGGCTGTATTGATATCCTTAGGAATTTACAATGTTAATTAATAATTTTTAACGTGCCACATCGTCACCTGAATATTTTTGTGTAAAGCATATATGCACTTGCCTATTATACCTAATTCAAAACTTTCCCTTCTACATGGTAGTTCGGCTGGTGGTTTTTTCTGAATACTTTGGCTTTCGCAAAGCTTTTCCCCGCCGCTGTCGCGTAAGGCCTCAAATACAATATTGTTCTCACGAACAAAGATTGTGTATCGAACGGTCTATTGAATCACAAATTACGTGTTTCACGCACACTCTTGTTTACTGTGCCGTTGTCTTGCGGCTTCATTTCAAGCATTGGAGGAATTAGCCGGCATCGAATCGAAAACACGCATAAGTTGCAACCTCTGCCATGACGACTTATCTTGACGATAGAACGGCTCACCCTTGCGAAACAAGAATCACGAAACAAGTGTTCACGATTTGCTGTGACAGGGAGTCTCCAACGAGTAATCTATCCTCTATAACGAACGACGTATTTTTAACCTTATTCACGAGAGTCCACGGTTACGGTGATTAAACAGTCATTTTATTCGAGCCCAATATTCGAATTCTCGTAAAACCGTAGCTCAAATTTTGACTTTTGTTTAACCTTTCCATCATGTCAAATAGGCCAACATTTGATAAAAAGACTTTATTTACTAATAGTACAAGTGGCTTCCGATACAAGAAAGTGATCGGGGCCCAACAAATTCCTTATATCGAAAGTCTCTTATAACGAGTTATTTGTTATAAGATTTTAAATCGGGTCCAGCAATTTCTTATATCGAGAGCCACTTGTATAGTGATTGAGAATCGTAATATATCACAATGCAAAGACAAATATCCAGTTGTGTAGATCTTGTGCGAAGAGAAGACAACTTTGTAGCGTATAAGGAATATTATATTGAATGGGTATTAGTATGAAGAAACGTTCTAGTCTCGATCGCGCGCGGACTTGAAATGTGTCGGGAGAGCCCGCGTCTGAATAGCACCGAGTCTTCTAATAGCTTTGATGCGCGTAAGCAGTTAAATATAATTCAGTGTACAAGTGGCTCTCGATATAAGAAAGTATTTTTGCTGGACCGATTTAAAATCTTATAACAAATAACTCTCGTTAAAAGAGATTTTCGATATACACGTAAGAAAGTAATTTGTTGGGCCCCGATCACTTTCTTATATCGAGAGCCACTCGTATATAATATTCTCACAACTCACAAACCGCTGGTACCCCAAAATGATAACTCCAAGATCGTTAAGACATTGCGGTGATTTATGATGTGTGTTCGTCATAAGACTTTCTTTCCACCCTCAACATATACAACTTATTTTTAAAGAATTGCCTTGGACAGCGTATTCTCGGAGGGCGGAGAGCGTCGCGTGAGAGACCATGTACATTGACGCAATATCTCTCGATTAGGTCGACAATTTCGACATCAGACATATATTTGTTGCGGTTGGAGTGGTTAATAGCGTCACAAGAGCGTGTCGCGCCCTAAAATATCTTTGGTATATCTGCACGTCTTCCGTCTCATCCCAAATTGCTTGGATTAATTTAACAGAGATGACTGTCAGTAGACACGCAGATTATAAAACAGTTAGGGAAAGCCCCCGATAGAGCCGTCAAGACTTTAATAACGATTCAGAATCCACTCATTCAATCTTGGTCAGTATTTAGTCCATATTAATTTAATAGTCGATAGACTTTTAATAATTCATTACTTCACGTGTATGTCTTCTTCACCACAAATCCACGCACGTGATAAAGCATACTTGTTCTTTCCTTCCATCATTCGGCGTAATTATCGAATATGTCATCTTTATTTACATATGTTTGCCGTGAGAGACAGAGACGTATATATCACATATTATTACATAAGATGCCATCCATATCCGAATAGTGTGGATAGCGGGAGTATCGTTTACCAGATGTTACAGTATATGCTAAAATTTCGGGGCAGACAGGCTGCTATAGAAAATACTCATTCTATACAATGGAGTTCACAGAGTGCGATGGATAAGTGGTATACAGGTCGCTGACGATCACCTGAAAAAAATCTCCATGCCACGCTAGAGAATTGCAGTGATCAATATCAATCTTCCTTTGCCATGCCATGTATGCTTTGCGTGAGCTAGTGTGTAGACACCACACCAAACATCATAGACTCTTTTTTTTTTCCCCGCCATAAACAAATTCGCTCCCACGCTTTACAAACCCATACACTGACAAATTCCATGATCACCCCCCTTAAACCTTCGAAAAACTGTTGGAAGCTATCGATGACCGACGCATCTATCTCCATCTTAGCCTCCCATTTGTCTCCTCATCTGTCTACCATCTCGTAAATAAACAAAATCGCATCGCAGCATTGACTGATAACAAGTAAACTTTTCTCTCTCCCAGAAAACGCTGTCGAATTAGCCTATTATGCTACTTTCAATAAACCAAAACACACAGTCGAGTTAGCATTTACACAATAAGCTAAAGCAACAACTTTTCAATACAATAAAGAATAATCAGACAGCAGTTGGAAACTGTCATCGTAGAGGCGTTTATGCCTTTTCAGTCGAGAAAACTAGCATCATTTAATAGAAAAGTCCCTCGATACTCTGTATATATTTACCTGGCCGTTTATACAACATGGTCAACCGGAAGTCCCCAGCTTTCTTTCTTTCTTTGTAACCACTGTTAGCGTATGTCCGAAGCAGTCGTTATTGCCTAGACTCTTACTCCTGAACGAGTCAAAAGAGGATAAGAATTGGGAAAACCCGAATTCTCGCTTGGCAGATATGGATACAGGTAGTACAAACTCACGTGAGCATGAAACGCTAAAAGAATAGTTGAAGGGATGAAATGTCTAAACATTAATTAATTTAAGTATTTATGATTAAAAAGGGGATTGACCAGGTGCAGAAAAGAAAAATGAGTTTGACACAAAGCATTGTCGGCCGAGGCGTTGTCAATTTGTTGTGTGGCGTGGGTGGTTATATGAAAAATCGTAAAAGGTGAGCAAGAGAAATAGCGGAAAGGCGATGATGATGAAACGACGAGTACAAAGTCGAGAAATTAAATTTAATATTTTTTTTTTTTTATATTTAAATGAATGCGTTGTTTGTTTTTTATTGCTCACCCCATTCCCTTTCTTTGAATTGTCTCGTGGTTCCACCTTGTTCGGACTGTCGTTGTTCCAGTATCCGTATCGAAAACACAAACATTCCAATAACCGGGATTTTCAATTCCTTGTACTTCATGTAATGAAAATGTTCCTTATTCTTTAATTACCATGCTGTCAAATGCGCTACTTACAAAGCAAACAAAAAAAATATCACTTTTATTTATAATCTAAAAATGTTCAACAAAGCAGTAGATCACGTGAAAACGGAAACCATCTGTCATCTGGTGATCCTTTGTCGAAAGGAAAGCCAGTACGTTGGAATAAACCTCTCTCCTATCCACAGATTCCATTCAATTCACGCATCTCGACAGGTTTTCTCTAACTTATCTCTGGTATCATGTTTTATTGACTTTTTCAGAGAACGGGGAAAAAAATCCATCGATCAAAGAACAAAAGAAAAGAAAAAGACAAACTAACAAATCGGGCTCTCTTATTATTAACAATCAAGGATAAGATCAACCTTGAAAAAGAGAGAACCTTTGTAAAAGCCGGTCGGAAAGAGAAAAAACAATGCGAAGAAACACTGAAGAAAAAAAAAAAAACTAAAATCGAACCTACTGGAGTAAATGGTAAGCGATATAAAAGAAGGAAATGGGGGGGGGGGGGCAAATAATTGTAACACGATGGATAGCTCGCGCTAGGTATATACAAATATACCAACGATAATGATACCAACATCTCTAAGAATCGATGTAAGTACATGAACGGAGGATGAGAGGAGAATAAATAACAAATACAAATGAGGGTGATAGAGAGAGCATGTGTATAGTATGTGGGAAAGAGGATTTCATTAATATACAACATATATAGTAATATAGAAATATTGAAGGGGAATTATTAACGAAAATATTCAAACCAAAAAATCAAAAACACAAAAAGAATAAAAATAAAAAAATAAAATAACAACAACCATATGGGGGTATTGTTAAACAAAGTAAACCAAAACTAAAACACAACAGATAGAGATTCTAAAGAAAAAGAATAAGAAAGCGAAGAAGGAGTTTAAAAAAAAAAGTCCCTTTTTTTTTTGAATTATTTGAAAAAGTTTCCACTTACATCCACTAACACTCCCAAATTTGCTCGATTTTTGTATTATTTATTAAATAACCAGACTACGAGATTGTCTCATCTCATTCTCAACCACAAACCCACCAAACCACAAACCACAGACTACCGCCACCACAACCATCGTCGTCATCATACATGCTATTCGTTATGGAACCACCTGCCAGTATCGGCATACTTGTCCATTTCTCTCGTAGCACTTCTAACACTAGCAGCAGTACCCGCTTGACTTCTCCTCAACATCAATTCCTCTAAATCGTCATCCTCTTCCTCTTCATCCTCCTCTTCAGTCTCTTCTCCACGCAACCTCTTTACATCCTTTTTCAATTCTCGAATCTGATTACTCATTTCTTCGATCTGTACCTGGAACCCTTTCTGCATGTTCAATACTAAATGATACAAATCGTCCATTGTCAAATCGGGCGTTGTCTGAGCGTCAGATGATTCATCGTCGTCCAAGGTATATCCTCGCGGAAAGAAATTTGATGGAAGCTGTTGGGCTATAGGCGAGGTTCGAATGAGATCAGGAAGCTTTGGGAGTGTATTCGTCGTGGAATCACTACGCGTTGACGAAGGCGCGGGTTTTGGTCGTTTAAGCAATCGTGGGAGGGTAAACAGGGTCTTGTTCTTGTTGCGCGGAGACTTGTGCTTTGTTGGTGTTGCGGGTGTCAAGTGTGGAGTGTAGCGAGTGGTAGGTGTGGATGAAGCGTAATTGCTATCCTTTGTTGGTGGTCGGGGAATGCCCGTACCGGCAGGGCTGGAACTGTCTTTCTTGAAGGTTGGCATTCGTTTTTGTCTTGCGTATTCGCTATCATCTGCGTATGAAAATCCATTTCTATGTCCGTCTCCGTTATTATAAGTCTCGATATCATCTCCATCCTCGTCAGCATCCTCATCGTCATCTCCTCTCCCGGGTGAAGAAGGTGATACTCTTCCACCCCGTTTGTTTAGCATCCAACTCCCCTGCCCACCCAATCCAGGCTGTGATGATTCTGCATCTCTATTATACCCATCCCCACCCCCTATATACATGTCCTCTCTTTCTTTTCTACTACCTCTTCCAGCATTATCTTTTTCCGTATCGGTAGGTATGGCTGGCAGATTTTTTCGTTGATTGTTAGGAGTTCGTGGGTTCCGTGTTCCAGCCATCGGTTTACAAAGTGGGGAAGGGAGGGCAAGGCAGAGACAGAAGTAAGCCAAGAGTTTCAGGGTAGGTTTTGTGGATTGGGAGACGGGGGAAGGTGGAGATTGGAGAGCGGTGTTGGTGATTTTGAAGACGTCGAGAGGAGGAGAGACTCAGTCGAAGAGGTGCGGAGAGTTAAGAGAGCGAATAAAAGTGAGTAAGAGTTGGGGAGGGAGTTTGTGCGATAAAGAAATGGGGAGGGGGCAGATTTGAAAAAGGAGAGAGAGTTGTTATTCGGCTTGCAATGTAGACGGAAGAGTGGTAGTATTTGCCGAGTTAAAAAGGGATATTAGAATGATAAATAATAATAATAATAATAGTGTATTATATCTGTATGTCTCTTTTTCTTTTATGTATTTCTATTAGGATTCTCTTTTCTTGTTTTCCTATTTCTTCCTTGTTTGAGTGAGACCAGCCCGACTTTTCAGTTGAGTATTTCAGTCTATCGGTGGTTCTTTTGCAAGACAGAGTTGTGTCAAGTGGAGCAAAGGAGCCAAGTGTTGTTCTTTTTTTTATGCTACTTATATCAGCTGATAACTCGAGTTGTCCCCAACGTATTAAAAGGGATATATATATATTCTATTTATTGAGGATTGATATTCTTTCGATGAGCATTCTTTTTGAACAATTTAAGTCTTTGGTTGGAGAACGGAAGAAAAAAAAAAAGTTGGTTGTTTAATTTTTGGGTTGTCGATGACAAGGATGATTGGCGGGGGATTGTCTCTTGAGTTTTTATTTTATCGTCGATTGGCAGCGTTCGGATAGGATGGAAAGAGTTTTTTGATGATGAAAAATGGATGCGGTGTGACTGTGTTGTGTTGCGATGTGAATTGATGTTAGGTTGAGTGGAAAAGCTGTTTGGCGAAAGTAAAAAGAGTTTAAAGTCAATACTACCGGTGTATAGGCCAATGCGAAGATTATTACCGAAATATAGTAAAAATGCAAAATAAGGCGAATAAGAATAAATAACAAAACGATATATGGTTATATTGAGTAAGCGTTATTTGACACTGTAGGTCGTTCGTATTGTGCATATGACATAATGATATGTCGTTATTTATATAGCACATATTAATATAATATGTATCAAATATTTATATATTAATATACCAATACATTCAATACGTTCAATACGTTCAATACATTCAATACAATTATCCTGTATATAATCGGCATTTTATATTTGTTTAACATTATGTATCACGTTTATCTATTATCTACTTTATTTTATGTTATTTACTTTGTCATTTAATTATCTACCTTATTTTATGTTATTTGCTTGTTCCATTCATCATTTAATTATTACTTTATATGGGGGCCGTGCTGCAACAAAGCTAACAATTTTGAACCCTGAAAATGCAAGTCGTGCGTGCCACACAACCTCTTCGTCCACTGATGTAACCATAAAGATATCTACATATCTGATTGTAAGCTGCGGATTGTTGACCAGTTTGAATAAGCCAGCATTTGCTGTACTAACCTAGCATTTATCCTCCCATCACTGAACGAACAAAGTACCAATAATCGAGCGATTCATATCTCATTATGATTGCTTTAGAGAAAGAAACCGTAAATTATTTTTCTATTTAGGTGCAACCTGATTATGGCAAGTAAAACAAGTGGGTAACAATCTTATTGATATTGTCTTTGCTGGATGGAAATTTTTATAAAGAAAATTAATGGCTACGGCAGAAAAAGGATTATTTTATGAAAACCAAATTACTTAAATATAAAGCATTGCATTGCAACTTGCTCTTTTTTATTCTGTTACAGTAGAACTAATCATACTTGTTTCTAACCGTGCTCGCCTACATGATAACGGCACTAGAAAAGATAATTTCGACACATATCCTGCCAACTTGTGTACAAACACATTACATGTAGTAAAAGCCGACTTTGTATTATACTTTTTAAAAATAAACTTTTAATTATAGTTATATCATCAAAAGCCATTTCCTGTTTTATATTGTCTAAAAAACATATTTATACAGTTTGCGCTTGTTTTTCTAAATGCCGTGATTCCGAATATTTCTTCTTATACATTCTATCGCATTAGTATAAGAGTGCGTCGTCGCTTGTAATGGCAAATCCTTTTATCCAAACAATACAAAGACGTTGTCTTTAAAAAACCAACTTTTCGTAGACTGTTAACAAGTGACGTTCAACAATCTGCCCCCCCCCCCTGAAAATATGACTGTGGCGTTGTATTCAATTTTATAAGCACCCCGTGTATATTTTACGGATTCCTTGTATCATTCAAATTCAGCTTACCTGCAATGTGCGCCTCCATTTTTTAAAGTCTTTATTTGTAATGATACTCAACCAGAGAAAGAAATGTGATGCTCCGCATGCATATTGCAATAACGTAACCGAAATCCAAATAAGAGCAAGTGGAGGTGACACTGACGCATCATGCCACGTGATAAGTAACTTAATGAGGGGAAGGAGCTGATAATCCATTGTCCCGATAATCTTAATATTATGTAGGAGTCCTTTCATTGTCATGTTGCATTACATATTTCTATTACGGGTAATGGCACACCCCCCGACAACAAAGTTAAAATTGGTTACGACTTGTATTGTTTTTAGTCATGTGATAAGATTTCACTATAGTATAAGAATTTGCAATCGATAAAGTTGAAAATTATTTAACGGTGCTTTATTATCATCGACTGGAAACAAAAAAGGAGCTCACAATTGATCTGCCTGATAAATTGGAATAAGGAATTCTGAAAATTTTTACATGGCCTCGTTGTTTCGCCCGTTTTGCCCGTTTTGCCCGTTTTGCCCGTTTTGCCCGTTCGATAATTCAATGCTTTGTAAAATTTACTTTCTCATTCTTGTGTTTCCTTGTCTGTAAAAAAACCAACTTTTTAGTTTAACCCTTTTCTTTTGTGACGCTAGCGCTTTCAAATTGAGCTCATTTAAAACTTAAATTCTTCGAGTATTATTGGCTATTTTGTGTTCCACGATCCCCAACATAAATGAAATTTAATATCTATCGCAATTGGTTAATTTTTATTTGCCATACAAGCTTCAAATTTTTTCTTGGCATGTCTAATTAAATCGCTAGAGAAGCTGTTTTATCGTTATGCAAATAATCTTATGATTCGGTTATCCAACGCTTCCCTAATTCTGACCACAACATTCAAGAGGTTAGATCGTTGATCAATAGATTATGACCTACCTTTCTCCACGTTGGATGTCATGCTGAAGCAAATAACCTGTTTGATCAACATTCTCATTAATTGAACAATGTCTCAAATAAGTGACTTCCCAACTTTCCGTGACAATCACTTCTACGTTTAGTAATTGCTGTTAGTCTCATGCATCCATGTCTAGGTGATCCTTCAGAGACAAGGTATGGGAGATAGCTATGCGTGAAAAACATGCTTTACATTTCACTCCGTAATCGTTAATCTTAAATCTTACACCCCTCCAGCCTCGAATATCCAAGTATGCGTCAATTGTAGATTACAATATTTATGATTACCTCTTGAGCACAATAAACCGTCTGAAATACATGTGATGGCTTAGTTAAGCATACTCCTGTAATGGCCTTAAATAGATGCAATCTTTCAATACCATTTGCCATTGCAATATTTCTCTGTATCATACGTACGCATATATGAGATTGGGTTTGCAGAAAAACGAATGTCAATTGCAGTTGATGGCAGTCTCTAAATCAAGAGACAACTAAAACTGCACCTCATGGATTACAAACTTTAAAAAATGCCAAAAAAGTAGCTACAATGAATCTCTCGTCTCGTAACACAATTACCAATTATTTGTTTTTATAAGTAGATCTCATCCAACGTCAACTTACAATTAACACAAAATGAATACACTGGCCCCTGATGACTTTACCGCTAAACGTAAGAAAGCCCTCGAGAAACTTGATAACGAAGACTTCTCTTCGTTGCACATTAGAATCTGCTTAGTAGCGGGCGGTGGTTTCCTTACGGATGGATATACTCTATACGCAGTCCTGTTTGTGTTTCCTATGTTGGCCTATGCTTATGCTGACGATACGTCTATCGAGCATTTTCGCACCATGATAAAGACTTCCACATGGTTTGGTTCTCTATTAGGCCACTTGCTGTTTGGTTACATGACCGACATATACGGTCGGAGAAAGGTAAGAATAAGAATATTAGTATTAACATGCAGCATAAATCCTAACTGTGCATGCTTTGATTACAGATGTTTGGCGTAGAGTTGATAATTGTGACGATCGGCACGGTTTATTCGGCTATCGTTGGCCAAGGTCCTAATCTATCATTTGTCGGTACTTTCGTCTTCTGCCGGGTTGTTCTCGGCATAGGAGCTGGAGGAGATTACCCAATTAGTGCGCGTACGTACCATTTCTTCATAATTAAAAGTAGCATTTACCGCACATAATAACGTTTTTCTTTATATATATCTCAAGTCATCATCTCTGAGCTTGCGCCAACAAAACATAGGGGAACAATGTTGGCAGCAGGGTATGCCATGTTCACTGTTGGGGCGTTTTTTGCTGCTTGCGTCTCCATTCTCGCCCTTGTTGGATCCCGGGCTTCCATTGATCAAGATCCACACAACCTTGACCATGTGTGGAGAATTACTGTCGGGCTTGGCGCTGTACCTGCGGTAATTGCACTGTTCTTTCGGCTGTCGATTCGCGAATCACCTCGATATTTAATCGATGTTGAAAGGGAAATCGACATCGAAGACGAGCAGATTGGAAACTATGAATACCACCACAAACCGGCGCAAAGCACAAACCATTTACGGGCAATGTACCAACATTTTCGTTCAGGAAAAAGCGGAAAATATTTGCTTCTGATGTCGCTCCTTTGGTTTTGCACCAATATTAACCCCGCTTTATATACGGGTTATCCTCTAATTAAGAGTAGCGACTCGGTCTATAATAACCTCTTGGACTATTATTCGAATCTTGTTGTTTGGCTTCTCGTCGGTTATGTACCCGCTGCTTTGCTTGCCGTGTACCTGGTTGACCGGTTGGGCAGAAAACCCCTCTTTTTAATTGGGTTTACGGGGTGTGCAGTTTTGTTCTTCATTTTGGGGTTGTTGGTCAGGTTTATGCCCATTGATGACACGAGTCAAAGTCAACTATACTTTGGAGTCTCGATCGTTACTCTCGTAAGCCTGCATTTATTTTGAATAATTACTTACAGCTATTATTTTTCTCGATGCTAATACAAGATAACTTTTTTTTTAACATTGCTAGTTCTTTTTAACGCTTGGGCCGCGGTCGATGGGTATTGTCATGCCCGCAGAACTATTTCCAACACGCTATCGTTCAACTGCTTATGGTATAAGCGTAGCGTTCGGGAAACTTAGTTACCTGCTTTCTTACGTGATAGTGGAATGGATTCATGACGTCCGTTCGGTTGAGGGTTTTCGTGCGCGATTTCTCGGTGCATCTATCGGATGGACCGCCCTCATGGGAATCGGAATAGTTTGTACAACTTTTCTACCCGAGACCAAGCATAGGCCGTTAGAGGAGATTGCCGACGATGACCAATTTGCCTCTTCCACGCAAAAAAGTTACTAAACCTTTATGATACCATCTATTGAAATAGTAGAATTTAGAATTAGTGACGTTCAGGGAGTCGAATGTCTATAATTAAGTGCTCATTGCATGTGTTATTATTGTAATTATTACCCTTTTCCTTTTTAAAGCAAAGAATAATTCTTGGGTATGTCTTCCTTTTCGGTACTATTGACAAAGGTCAATTAGACACAAATGTCGGCCTTCTTTTAGAATTACGAGTCCAAAGCGGCTCAAGAAAGCTCGTTATTATTTTCCTAGATAGTTTAATAATGTATAAATAATTTATTTGCCATACTTCTTGGCATACTCTAATTAAATTGCTAGAGGGACAGTTTTGTCGTTATGCAAGTAGTCTCGGGTTTACCAATTATGACGCGGTTACCCAGTGTTTTCCTAATTCTGGCTTACGTTCAAGAGGTTAAATCGAATATGACCTTTTTTCCATGTCGGATGGGCTGCATTATCAAACACTTGTATTAAATACTGGTAAATGTGTCTCAAAAAGTGACTTTCAATTTTCCGTAACAATTATGTGAAATTGGGGCCACTTCGTTGAAGATTAAGTTTAGTCTCGTACTCTTATATCCATGTCTAGATGAGAACAGATTTCTTCAGAGACGAGGCATGGTCGATAACGTAGCGGCTAATTTGAGTAAAAAACATACTTTACATTTTTACTCCACAATAAGGCAGAGAATATTTTGCCCTTAGCTGAGTTATAGCTGTAAGTGTCGCTTAGTCAAAGCTATCTTTACACCGCTCTCGGAAAAGCATCCGGTCAGTAAAAAAATCCGACATTCGGTAGTTTAAAATTTCCATTCCCATGCATGCTTCAATTCTATGTGACTTGTTTTCTACAAGTTTAGTATAAGTTTTGGGTGGAATTTTTCTTGCAGCACTTTTTCAATCAATTTTTTTGAAGTACGTGGGGGGTGCTGAAAAGTTTTGCGCGTGGACCCTTATTTCCAGAAATTTCATAATAATTATCGATACAACTATTTCATTCCCTCAAAGTACTCCATAACTTCTATGCAACGTTGCAGACGATTTTGCCAACACTGGAAAGATCGGTTTTGGGATAGTTTCAGCAAATTTTCGACCTTATCAATTCTTTTCCCTTCAGTTCTTTTTTGATTCGAGGGAATAAGAAAAGGTTTCACTCGTTTGTTATGAAGATACTCTGTTATGATTGTGGTACGGCATTGTCGTAATAAAGCATGACTCACGAACAGTTGTTCCCTTTTTTCTGGAGGCTCATTATGCAAAATGTAAGAAATTTTTTCATGAGAAATGCCGATTCCGTTGGCTAATTTTCTAATAAAAATGTGCGGATTATTGCTAACAATATCCTCGACCTTGGCAATTTTTCTGATGTTATGGCTTCGCGAGGACGTCCAAAACGAGCCTTGTCTTTAATTTCTTCGAGTTGATAATCGTGGCGATCGGCACGGTTTATTCGGCTATCGTTGGCCAAGGTCCTAACCTATCATTTGTCGGTACTTTCGTCTTCTGTCGGGTTATTCTCGGCATAGGAGCTGGCGGAGATTACCCAATTAGCGCGCGTACGTACCATTTCTTCATAATTAAAAGTAGCATTTACCGCACATAATAACGGTTTTCCTTTATATATATCTCAAGTCATCATCTCTGAGCTTGCGCCAATAAAATATAGGGGAACAATGTTGGCAGCAGGGTATGCCATGTTTACCCTCGGGGTGCTTTCAGCTGGTATA